TATTGTTGTAAATTTTATACTAAGTCTTTTCTCTGTAAAAATTGAATCAACAATTAATAAAGATCACAATTTGAGAAATGCTTTGCAAAAAAAAAAAAAAAATCAAAACCTTTAATGTTTTTATTAGATCAAAAAATCCAAATCAATTTATTTTTTCAAATGATTAATACTTTTTAATTTTTTAAATTAAATTTTATCTAAATATCAAAACAAAAATCAATTTGGTTCAAATTAATTTTACAATATAATAACAATAGTCACTATTAAAATAATAAACAATATTATTTATATTTTACTATTTGTGTTAACAAAAGTTATATTACAAGTTTCAAGATATCAAAAAGTTAAAATAAATAAGTTTAATTAAAAAACAATCTTTATTTTTATAGATTTTATAATATATTTAATTTAATTTTAATTTTAATAACATTTGTTTTAGTTTTTAATTTTTTTCAAAATTTTTGAGCTAATAGGTATAGTTATTACTTAGTTATATCTAATATATTAATATTGTTTTTGAAATTTTTTAATTTTAGTTAAATATTAATATATAAACAAGTTAATATTTAATTTGTTATATAGTTTGTATTTAAAAACATTGTTTTATTACAATATATATCTATTGAAAAAACTCTTAAAAAAATAAATAATAATAAAAATTGATTAAATTATAAAATATTTTAAAAATTTAAAAAAAATTATATATACTTTATTTAAATAACTAATATAAATAATAAATTTATTAATTATTGTATATCTATAATATTATTAAGATATTTTTAAATTTATTCTTAGATATAATATAATTTATAAAGAATATAAGTTTTTTCAATAAAATAATTAATAAAAGAAGTATAAAATTTACAAATTTATAAAAATATGTTATTAAAGTTAATGATTTTAAGAAATTATTAAGAATAATATAGTTTATTATATAGATTTTTTTATATTTTTATAAATTTTTTTCATGGATTGATATAATATTTTTATAAAATAAAAAAAATAAAAAAGTATAGTATTATCACTACTGGCGAGTCTGTCGCTAACCCGGGGCTGGACCTCGCCTTACAATAGGATAGACTTGTCAGGCTCTTGCTTGACTCTCGGATACCGCAGCCTTGTCTTATGGCGTCCTTAATTATTTTTGCCCTAACTTGATCCTAGGCCTTGTCGATCTACTATACGATCAACGATCTACAGACAAGAAAGGTAAGTTTATAATTAAACCATTGCACGAATTTACAAGTTTTGGTGTTTCAATTAAGCAGGGACTTCTTATTTAAGCAATTGTTAATTATTACATATTGATTCTACTCTACAGCTATTTATATTGCTTGTGACGTGTCCTCAAATCAGTCGTCGCGTCCTGCAAGTTCTACAACAAGCTTTCACATACTTTTAGCCCTCCACTGATGCATAATTTGATGCATCTGACCCTGCGCCGCACCAGACCTGGTACCCCACCCATACCCTTATCCCCCGTTCTGTCATGCCTCTTTTCCACCCATGTAATTATTATGCTAACAATGCTTTATTATAAATCTACTAGTTATCATTTCAATGTAAAAACTTTAAGAGACATATGTAAAAAGAAAGATATAATTTCTCATATAAGAAAGTTCATGAATGGTTGCATAACCAGAATAAATGACAAAAGTATGCTCCATCATCAAAAAATATTCCATAAGTAAGTTATGAAAAAATTTTATGTCCAAACTGTGTACACATGTGTGATTTGTTGCATCTTACGAATGATACCATTAATAAAAAGACATATAAATAGGCACTTACCATCATAAACATTGCTAGTAGATTTAAATATATTATTCCTCTAATTACAAAAAACAGTTTAGAGATAACCAAGATGTTTAAGAAAATCTATAATAATTTGAACATCTTTCTTATCTGGCCTGATTTATTACAATGTAATAGTAATAAAAAATTTTTTAGTGAAACTTCAAAAATAATGGAAGCATATAATGTTAAAATCCAAGTTATAGGCTCATATTCTTATTGAGGTCTTGCAATTATAGACAGGTTTTGTAAAACATTAGTAGAGACACTACACAAAGTTCAATCAGCTGTTGAAACTATATACAGAAATCCTAAATTAATAAGGGCATGGGTTAAGTATTTATCAAAAGTTCTTGAATATCTGAATAATTATCCAATATGACTTATATAAGCACCAGGATCAAAGAAATAGGGATTAGCACCTGTGAAGACAATTAGATTGAATAGGGTGAAGTCTAAACCATCTACAAAATACAAACATTTAGTTGGTAAAAATGAAGTAAAATTAAAAAAGAGAGATATTGTTCATTATTTACTTGCTAATGCAGAATGGAAAGGGAGTATGGAAAATCAGAGGCATGCAACAGATAAAATTTGGAGCCCTTCTTTATATAAAATCTGCAAAATTGTGATAATGAATAACAAATCAGTTTTATATTATCTTGGAAGCGATGACAATAAATATCCTTCAAAACATGGATTTGTGCAAAAGAAGCTTTTGCTAGTAGACTATACATGTTACTGAAATTTATAGATCTTTGACGCAATTGACACAATTATTTGACGCAATTCTATTAAAACATATAAATAATTGAGTCATGATGCAATTATTTTTGAGGATTTTGGGAATTGAGTTAACAGCAAAATAATTTATGCCACATGTATATAGTAGACCTAGAAAAACTTCAGTATCCATCTCAGAGTATATTAAAAGAAAACACTTATTTCAGGTCTGTTAATTTCATCTGTATTATTAATAAAATAGCTAAGATGCAAGCTTATGCTGGAATGTTTTGGCAAAACTAATCAAATAAATGGTTACGATGTATATCTCTGGATATGTGGACTCTATCAATAGTATGCACTTTATAAAATCCAGAAGCAAAAATTTGAATGGTGTCCACTTTGCCCATATTTTAAAGGTGAGAGATCTGCTTGATATATTTTTGAAGATTTGCTAGGTAAGAAATTTTCATCTTGTAAACCATCATTTTTGAATGGGATACAATTAAATGTGTATAACAAAGAGTTAAAATTGGCATATGAATTATAAACAAAATGAATGATCAAGAATTAGAAACTCTAAAAAAAGTACTTAACCTATTAACTGATTAGATAATAAATTTGAATAAATTAACATTTTGTAAATTAATTCGCAATGGATATAGACATGTTAGTAATTTATTGAATTACTCAGAAATATCTGAACATATTGATTATGGTTGTTCCAATCATATAGCCTTCTTATTTAATATATGAAAGTTAGCAATATCACCATTTGAAATATTATAAAACAAATCAGACATATATTGCAAATATCTTATAACTGTTGAATCATGCCAGAATTTATTTGGATAGGTGTACAAATAAAAGAAAAATGAATAATAAATCTTAATATAACCTGGACCTCTATCTCTAGAGCTATATTTTTTCATTATATCCCATATAATAGTAAATTTCAAATAGACATTCTGGTTACTCTATAGGTATATATAAACTTATTTTTATTATGGAATAAGCCTGTAGAATGACTTTTTGAGTTATGGCACTTATGTGCCTCTAAGTATAGAAGAAAAAGAATAATTAATTTCAATTTGAAAAAATACATTTATAGTTATAATCCACACAATTATACTATAACAACAATGTCAAAAGTTACAGCAAATTTCATGAACCAGTATAACTTAACTTCTCAGATAAGTATAGCTGAGCTTAGTAATTATGCTGAAAAAATATTTAAAGAGATTAAAGATTATAAAACATATAATCATGCTCGAAATAAAATCCAGAAGTTAGGATTTAGCAAAGATCAAACATATGTTTTAATTCCTATCCAGGCTTTCGGAAGGTGGATTATAGGGCGAGATTTGATTAAAAAGCTTGCTCAATATATTAAGGAAAATGAAAACGATTTTGACCTAGTAGAAATATACAAATTAGCATATAACTTAGCTAAAACAGCTCCTAGCATAATAGCCCAATCATCACATCTTAAATTGCTCTGAAGCAATATACAGTATATATCTGATATTACTTAAAAATCAAATAAAGAACAAGCACTCTGTGAAGATGAAAGATTTGATTGTTTTGAATTCTTTTATCTGGAAAATGTTCAGAAAAGACTTAGTAAGTGTGATATAACAAAACTACCCTCTATACAGAATTTAATAATGGAATAATAATGTTATTTATGAGGCCAGCAGATGTAGGAAACCTCTGTATCAAATATTATAAAGCAGATAGTGCTGAATGGTATATCCTAAATATTCTTGATACTGTATTGGATATGTCAAAAATAAAAAAGACAAACTTAGACCATTAGTATCTATGGAGAAAGATCCATTACTGGCTAGAGAATTACTTATTTGAATTCAAAAAGCAATTCCTAACAAATTCTTATTTTAAAAAGAGATAAAGACAGTGATGTAAATGTTCACTCAATTAATAATTTCCTAGCAATTTATGGAATAAGCTCATTGCATTTGAAAAAAATCCGTTCTGAACATGCTATTATAATTCATGGAAATAAGAATGATTCCAAACATAAATGTCTCTGTCAATTAGCTTTAAGACAAAAGTTAATTAATATCATATTAGATCATTATGGTATAACGAATAACAGACTGAATATTCCAATACCTAGACCAATTTCCCCTATGATTAAACAAGAATTATCGAAGAAAAGAAAATTCGGGATTAAGAATCACTTACAACACTTCCTGAAGAGGAAAGGCCTCAAGACCTCAACTCGGATGCTCAGTCACGCAATAGCAGTACCGGCTAATTCAGATGGTAGTATATTACCTCCAGAAGGCAAAATATGTAGCGAAACCAATTCAAAGTGCAAGAAAAGTGTAGGCAAGCTTAAGCAAGAATTATTTACCCCTGAGTTGTCTTCACAAGAACCATCAATAAAACAATATCATACGACCGAAATTCCCGAGACATCATGTCTTGTAAAAGTTACTTCTGGTGACAATTCTAGCATTGATGAGGCCTCACATCATCTAGCTCAGTTATGTGATAAAGCTTTTGATGCTGAAGATAAAGCGAATAGAGCTAATCAGAAGGAAATTTTATGCTGGTCCCTCTATGCGAAGGATTTAAGAATTCAGCTCAACGGGATTGTAGAAAATAGGTGAAAAGAAAGCAAGAAGCTTACTGTATGATTCCATTATAGAACAGCTTAATTTACTTCGCAAACAAAGATCCCAAGAGTTAGGTTTACAGCTTCGAGACATATCACGAGATAGTT